ATATTAGCCTCGGATTGGAGTTGATAGATGAGATTAGATCAGGGTCGGAGTGAAAACATGGCGTCTTGTCTCGTGTGCTCTCTAGGTCTAGCGTTAGGTCGCAGCGGATCTTAGGCATCGCGCGCGCATACACAACACTGATCAATAGAGAAAAATTGTGGTATTTGAGTCTTTTTTTATTCCTTTTCACGTTAATTATGTACATGGCTTCGTCTATTTTCTCCAATCTCAGCAGACTTCTTCTTTCTGTCTGCCATCCAGAGCCACCGAAAGCTTTAGGAGGTCCAAAAGAGAATTTGGAAAAGAGGAGACCTCTTGCAAGCGAAGCGAGCAAAAATATTTCTGACCACACCCTTACATTCATCAATTTAAAATGTTTTACTTTTTAAGTGTAATTTTGTTACTTTTGATAAATTTCATTTTGAAACGGAATCCATGACTTTATGAGGCCCCCTAGACCTCGAGGCCCAGGGCAATTCACCCCTTTTGCCCCCTCTCGTCGGCCCTGCTGCCATCTTCTTTTCCCAGTGCCAGCTCACTTTTGAAAAGCAGCCCATCATTTTCCATATCCGAAGACATTTTGCTCTTTAACATGTTATTATTGAATTCTTTGCTTCGCACTACAGATGGGAGGAGATTGAAGAACAGTTCCTCAGCCTTGACTTCAACTGGTTTCTGTCCCCAAGTCTTGATTTCAGTTGATTTGTAATACTGACAAGGAATGGAACAGCTGAACATCAACTCATTGTGCCATCTTTACTGCTTGCTAATACCAGTCCGCGAATATTTCTCTACATTCGCTCGTTTCATGCAAAGGTTCTCTATGACCTTGTCAACTATATGACAGGCTTGAAAAATGTCTTGGTTTCTTTCTTGTAACTTTTTTACCAGTGGTCGTAGAGGCCCTATTCCGTTCAATGTATTGTGCCTTTATTTTGGTTTTTGAGTCCCAGAACCATCCTTCTTCAAAGCCAGTGCGTAGTGCATCATAAAACAAGCTGTAGAGTTGGGGCTTGAAGATAGACGCTATTACTGCAACATGATGACGTTTGACCAAACAAGTGCGTGAAAGTCAGACTAGTAAGAAAGTATGACCTTCCTTTTTAGCGTGATAACCAAATATTCAAGCAATTTTCCAAGAAAGAGGGTACTTATCCGCTTTAGAGAAAAATTGTAGGGGGCTAGACCCCCATGACCCCTCGCAGTTGCGCGCCGGCATAAAGAACAGATACGTAGACTGCTTTCTTTAAAGCATTACATATTTTGAATCCCCACCTAAAATAATTGAGGAAGAGGCCGTCACTAGCTGTTTTGCTCATAAGGGAGGTGTCTAGGGCCTATTTGCCGACAAGTTTGAAAAGAACCTCATGAAAAGTTCCTATGATGTTCCTCAGAGAATACTTTTGATGGCGTTTCAACTTGGCGATGGCCAAAAACTTAGATGGCAAAAAACTAACTTTTCTGAAAACGCAAAAATTGTTTTTTGTAGGTAGTGTTACATATTTCACATAGAATGCATTTATGCTTTCATGATTCACGATGTCATGGGTGCTTGGCAAAGAAAGCATTCAGCTTTCGGCATAAATGATCTTTCGTGAACTATCTTCATTATTTGGGCTAATATCGAAGAAATCTCCAACGAAGCAAACAGTAATAATTGTGGTCAAGCTTAAAGCATTAATAACAACAAAAAATATGACATTAAAATTACTTTTGCATCACACTCAATAGACAGCTCCTTGGTTGATCCATTAGTTCCTTAACGATTAATGTTTTAACTTGCTGTGTGCTGAAAAGGTTTGTTATTGGTAAAAACTAATTTTAAACTCCCCCTTCCCAAGAAATCCACCCATTATTTAGAGTGGGGGGGGGGGGGCAATAGCCGCTGAGTCTCTAGGCAAATTTACGCAACACATGTGATCCTTAGACACTGCATCGTTACGTGCAGTGGACCTGTCAGGATTAACAAATACGATCAGTCTGATCTAACTTAGAGAAACTTCTTTCAAATGAATTTTCAAATTCGGTAACTCAACCTAAAACAGTCAAAGAGAAGTATGATTTACCCACCTGGACCCATTGCAGCTCCAAATTGTTCCAATGCAACCAGGACTTTCAATGCATTGTTCTTCTCGTTTTTCGCAGTTGACTGGGAAGCCACAGTGCGACAAACAGCTACATCTCCTGGCAAAATAAATTGTGATGTCAATCCAAACATCAGATGGGGAAGAAAGGGCGGGGTGGGAGGATGGTGGTTTAAAGCTGAATTTTTGTGACGCGTGGCCTTCCATTGAATGCTGCGCAATGATACACCAACACTAATAGAGTTCTGACTTCACTAAAACCTATTTTTAGAATTTTTGAATTTTGGCCACATTACATAAAAGATCACCACGAAATACTTTCAAATATTGGCCAACTATGTCTAAAATCGGTTGGGATATTACCGATGAAAGATTTGAAGTTTGCTAACGAATCACCAAAATACAGAGGTTTGATGGGGGAAAAGCCAATACACATGTGGCCATATCTCAGCCAATTCATAACTCATTTGACTGATTTTGCACATTTAGAGGTATTTCATGATGGTCTTTCAGGCTATAGGATCAAATTAAAAAAATCTAAAAAAAGATTACTATGACGTCATCAGTAAAGAACTCTAATGTTGGTTCGCGTAGGGATGAAATTAATGACAGCGCAAATACCAAATCACTAACCTACTTTAAGATCAAATCTCAGATTAAAAACCTATAATAAGAATAATTTTACGATCAAATGCAAATATAAGTGAAGTAGCTTTTACCTGCTGAAAAACCAACAATGAGCCTTGCCAACAAAATCAACATTTTCCCATCAAAACCAGGATAGTTTTCAGCACAAAGGTACAAGAAATGCCCAACAAAGCGAAGCGAAGCGCTTGCCAACAATGGCTCGATAGCTGGACGGTACCTGCACCAAGCACCAAACAAAATGGCACCAATAATCTGAAAAATGCTGTAACCACTAACTACCAAACCCAGAAACTGAGCATTGACGTCTTGGTCAACCTACAAAATTGAAGCAAAAATTTGTTTAAATGCATTCGTATTTTATGATACGTTGTACAATCTAAGTCCTGTATGCCACGTCCTTCAATCCACTGTACGTTACATTCTACGTACTACGTTCTAGATTGAACATGCATTCGTTGGCGTATTCTGGGTGTTAAAGCCACAGAGGATCAAAGAATGAAGAATGGGGATAGGAATTGCGAAGGAGAACGGGAGAGGAAAGGAGAGACGAAACTTCTATGGAATCTTCTTTCCCCTCCCATTCTCCTTCGCTCCGCTCTTCATCATTTGATTCTCTGTGGCTCTGACACCCAGGGTATCGTTGGCGTATCAAAGTACCTTTATGTTGTGAGAAAGAGGGGGGGGGGGTGTGACGAGTTTCTTGCAAAGGACATTCACCCTCATTGCAAAAGACTATGGCACCCAATATAGAGAAAATATTACAACGACTAAATATTTTGATTTAATTAAGTCAAGCTAAGCTTGATAACAAAGTATAAGTTAAAGCAGGCTGCGCACATTGAATCAGGCCCCTTTGCAGTTATCTCTTTGATCAAATACAATAGATTGTGGAAAAATGAGGAATATTACCTTTTGCAAATAAGGCCAAATTGAAGGTAAAATGATTTCAAATTCTAAAAAAGCAGAAATGTAGTTGAAATAATTGTGAAAAGATCTAAAGACAAAAGATCTAAAAATTATGTGCCGTTGAGGATTATATAATTGTGAAGATGTGTCTAATTGCAAGCATGCAAGAAACCTAAATGCAGGGACGTTATAACTGGGGCATGTGCCTCCGAAATTTAACGATCTTTTTCCTGAGACATACCACCCCCTCCCGCCCGTGCCAATCCATCTTTGAAGTGATTCCAATATCTCTGAATAGAAGCACCATCTATCATTTATAAAGCAAAATGCAAAGATTGATTGAAAAATAGTTTCACTTCAAAATAGATTTTTTTTCAATTATTTCAAACAAAGGTTTTCTAACAATATTATACAAGGATTAAATGTATGTATAATGGTAGCAATACTGACATGGTGTACAATAACAACACTTCAACTTGTAATAAAATAATTCAATTCAATTTAATTTACCCATTGCACTGAGTGCCTGAGTTAAGTAAGTGATTCTAATTGTCCTCCATCTTGATTTGTACTCTTCAGGCGTCTCATGTTGATCATCATCTGTGGTTTCCTCTACCACACTATCCCTGCAATACAATAACGCGTATCATACCGTGTATCGCTTTATTCACAACGTAACTTTCCTTTTAGACTACGCTGTGCTGGAAAGATTCGCCTGTACAGGGCCCGTGCCACGAATTTGAAAGTTGGGGGCAAGGCTATAAAAAGAAGGGGTTCAATGCTTCTTCTTCCTTTTAATGCAGCTCTAAAATTACTTTCTTCACAAAAAAGTGGGGGCCATGGCCACCCCGGCCCCCCTGTGGCGCGGGCCCTGCTGTAATTAGTCAGCGTGTGCAGTTTTCCGTAACACGTGACAATGGAAATCAAAATATGCCAACAGCAAAAAAGGTGAAATACGCCTGTGCAGCGTAAGATTTTCCACTTAGGTGGCCTATGTAGATGCCTCAGGACTTTTAACTAGCTGGCATTTTGCTTTAACTTGTTTCTGAAGTTAGAATCAAGTCAAAATAGTTTGCATGATTTCCATGTTTAAAGTTATGTGAAAAATCAAATCATTCGTTTTTCTTTAAATTGCATGAATGAGAAAGAGGAAATCTACAGAAAAAAAGGAAAACTATTTTACAGTTCTTAGAATAGAAGAGATAAGAAACCACAATCCTGACTTTTGTAAACCATAATCCAAAAAAGCAAGAAATTACCTTGCCCCGCTAAGGAACTTTTCCTTCTCCATAGCCATGAAATCTTTTTCAAACTTAGAATTTTCTTCTCAGTTAATCTACAAGTGGAAAAACAGACACTTAACCCCAAAAAGATGTGAATGTTGTTCTTTTAACATGATTAAATTAATTAGTCAATTATTCCAAAATCTTACTGGTACATGCAGCCATTAGGGGTGAGTAACTATGTTTAGGGGCTCTCACCCCTATAAGGCAGCTAATTCAAAATCTATTGGAAATTATTTTGAAAAGTAACTAGCTGCAACACAGGGAAGCCTGCACACAAAGAGAGCAGCAGGGACACAGTACCAAGAAAAAGTTAAAAATAGGAAAACGAAGAAAATGCTCAAATTTTACGAGGGTAAGGGGAGTCACCAACCTGGCTGCCCCCCCCCCTCCCCTAGCGCAGGTGCCCTTGCTTCAACATCTACGGAAAGCAAACGTTTTTTGCAGAAACTGAAATTGATGCTTACATACAAATTTTTTAAATTTTTAAATTTACTTCCACTGCCGAAATTTCATTTGTGGGGAAAAACTCTGATTGCTAATTGCAAAGTTGCTCCTTGAAAATCTTTGTCTTTCTTTAAAATAAAGACAATCAAAGGACACAGTTAGCATACTTATTCAAAACATGAACATATATGCACTTAATTGCACAAGTACGTCAATAAACCTCATAGTACCATGCCAATGACAATAATAATCGGGACCTCTTAATTCAACATTTCAACAATGCTACATCTCACAT